CCCTCTCTCCCTCTCCCTCTCCCTCCCAGTAAGTGATGAAGTCCCGAAGCAACAGTGAACTTATTTGAATTTCTAACAACATAAATTAATTTCAAAGCCCTCTGATATTGCTTTTTTGGTGAAAGAAGGGGAGCTACCATGTGCGCAATCATTGGTTTCTTGGGAACTGGTCTTGCCTAACAAAATTATATACATAAGTCTAGAGATGCTACTTACCCCGCATTAATGAAATGAAACACATTTGGATGTTATGTGCTTCTAATAAAGTAATTACAGTATTACATATATGTAATTACGTATCCTATTCTCATTACCAGTTTACCATGTATTTCTTCGCAAATCCAAAGTAAAGTTGGATAAGTTATTTAATGATTTCCCTTATTACGATTTGTTTACATGGATACATTTCATTTAATTGACCAAGGAAATATTGGGTTGATGGTCAATTTACAAATTGTTATTAAACAAAATTATACTATGTATATACTGGAAATGCACTTGTAATGGAAACAGTAGGAAATTAAAAATAATGTTAACCTACTGAACTTGAAGTTATGATAGCGAAATATTGCTTTTACTATACTTCCTGTATTAGTTTAGGGTTTACTTGTGCTGTTTTTTTCATCAACCAAGTCTCGAATTTAAGTCACAAATAAAGAAAAGTAGTCCCGATTATTTGTTGAAAACCTAAATATAGATCAGGGTTAGGGTGTGACTACAGAGAGGTAACGATTTTTGCCGAACAGTTACTGGAGTGCTTTCTATCCAATTTCAGACCTCTTTTAATTGATATATTACATTAAAAAATAAAATTGTTTTTGAAATTTGTTTTCGAAAGACGATTAAACACGAATGAGATTGCGATTACTTGTCAAATTAAGTGCATCAGCGTTTTCTCGCGGAAAATAATATAAGCGTTTTACAATTGTATGGTTTTGTTTGGAAAAAAATACCAACAGACAGAATTAGTCAATTATTTGAGTCTCATTTGCGCCAGCTTCTATTGTGTGCTGTTATTGCTTGCCAACTTCATGGCGCCTACCACAATCACGCCCTTTGACCTGACCTATAATCAGCGTTCCCTTAACAGGGAATTCTGCGTTGTCATCATCCCAAATAGTATTTTGCGAATGACAAGCGCCACATAACGGCGTGAGCATGAAACGGTTGTCACTTCCAAGACACATGGGGCCGGGAACAGCCTCTGGTAGTTCTAGCGCTGAGATATGTCTATCCTCGGGGGGCGGACATCCGGGCAATTTCTACCGCCTGGCAACCCTCGCGGTGAAAACAAAGACCAAAAACTCGCAGAAAACGGTACTTTGGGATGTTTGTTGAGACTCCCCTGAACAGTGTAACAAGATTAGTCCTACATGTGTAACATATATACATTTGGTTGTTCAGGATTACTTCAAAGTTGAGTTTGTGTTGTTTTCTCGAGTTTTCACCGGCTCCACCGGCGTTCCACAGCAGCGCGCACAAAACCAATAGAAATACGTGGTACAGTGGCGCGCGTCTTAGCAACGTAGAACGTCTGTGACGTAGCTCCGCCCCCGAGGATATCATAACCTCGTTATTACAGTTGTTAGCATATTGTGTACACGCAGTGCTCATGCTTTGACCTGTATTCCACAACGCATGAGGTCGATTGAAGTTTACGTTTTATGCAACATAACTTTCAGCACCATCAATGAGGTCTGTCAATCAATCAATCAATCAATCAATTCGTTCTTTTCCATAAACTTTGCTGTATATTCTTCAAATGAATTTCGACAGTACATACATGCATCTATAGCAGACGACTATGGAAATCGAGCTGGTACAATTAATTATTAAATTCTATATTTAATTCAGTACACGCAATTATGTTTGTAAATTGCTTGTTATTTTGTATCATTCATTTTCATTCTATTACGCCGGGAATATTAATTATACAATTAGCATAAATTAGTCAAACCTCATCGGATTTCAATGATTGCGTCTGATTGCTTCGAATCCGTTTATATTAATAGTGTAATTTGCATAAATTGTACAATCTTAGTAGATCCACGTATATACATACGACTCCCGTGTGTTTTCGCGATCCAATAGCGTTACATTTGATTGTACTTCTGCATGGAGTACACTTGTATGTGAGTTTAGAATCAAAAGGTCGTTATACCGCTGATTATTTGGCAGAAGTATTTTGTGTCCGTGTGTACGGGAGAATTTTGTAGCCTCGGAATCAAAATATTGTTTTTATAAGATTTTTTGGATGATGACAAAATACGGAAACGACAAAAGGTCGAAGCCCGTTGTATGTGGGATTGATTATATAGAAGATACGTATAATTGGACAAGAGTTTGAAGACCGATTCCGAAATAGTCATCAATCAGCATGATTTCATTTCTAGAATCATCTACGAATCAGATTGTGCATCTCAAAACGCGTAGTTATATTGGCCACCATAAAATCCTGTCTTATTAACGTCCTTTGTTTATTTAGCTATTTTTTTTTTATTTAATTTTAAATATTTTTTATATTTATTTCATGGTAAAGTGACCTGATGTTATTGTCAAAAAAATGTGTGTTGATAATAGTTTGTATAATCATAGATGATATATCAACTGACATGTTTTTTGTTAACTTTCCATGTAGTACTACACTGATCAATGAGAAAAGATGATACTACTTTCCTATTTGGGATAAATTTGTCCATAATATGTCTAGAATGGGTAAACCGTGTTCTGAATTCCCCAGACAAATAAAGTAATTCATTTACGTAATTCAAAAAAAAAAACGCTGACCAAATTTGGCTGTGCTAAGCAGAAGAAGAAGAAGAAGCTACGCATATATTAGGCTATTCGATAGACGTTGTATAGGCCTCTGGAACATGACGGTTGGTCATCGGCTCATCCATGTTTATCGCATTCATGCATCGTGTAACAAATATTCCAGGACTTTGAATAGTATATTTCATTTGAAAACTCGTGCAGAATTGTTGACAGAACACACTGAATGTCCACAAAAGCACGAGAATTTCCCTAAATATATATCTATAGATGGTTGGGGTGGTGGGCTGTAATTCACATATCCTTATGCCTGCGATCTTACCGTTTAACATCGTTTCTGGTTTGACCGCGTTACTTGACGACCGCGACGGCTACGGCTTGTCGTGCCATAATTTGGCAGTGACGTAAATAAACATATGTTTCCACAACCCCATTAAATATGCTATGCCAATCAATTATCAATTATCAATGATTAATAAATGGTATTACAAAACATGTATATTTTATGTACGGAATGTCGTTCTTGCCATTTTCCAATCTGTTACGTCGTTTAAAGTGTAACGTCGCCATTATAACAGCATGTATATTAACAGGGATTATGCACGACCCCTTGATGTCACCCATCCGGGCACTTTCTAGGGGTATTGTTACTTGCTAGTGATAATGTACAATATCTGACGTCTAAGAAGTTGCCATAATTACTGACTATTTCACTGTGAAAAGCAAGTTTATTCATAAAGTTTTTCACACAGTTTTAATCAATATTCCAAGTTACGTTGGTATTAATTCATCGCTTTTAGGGATGCATAAAAACATGCTCACGTAACACGTAACAATTATTGTATTGATATTTCCTGTCAATTATTTCAAGATATGAATTTTGAAAAAAAAATGCTCCTTGGATAAACAAACACGAATATAAAATGACATTAGTTCATAAGTTATTGGGAATATCACAGCATATCATTAAATTTCGTAGAACAAGGATGATATGCACTGAGTGTGTAACGTGAAATTACTGAGACAAACTTACATCACTCCATTGTTACCACCAAACTTTTAACTTGATACACTTTGCAGATCAACATGTTGAATGGTTTTGAACCCGCGTTTTGTCTTGACTTTGATGTTGGTTAAACAAGTATAAAGCTCCAAGTCGGTGAAAGGTTAAAGTCCATACAAATGATTCATAGTTGACCAGTTTTAAAGCGGGAGGGTCGTCACCTGCGCACGCGCGGGAATTGAGTCCCAGGCGACGATAACAACACACGCTAAAAACTCAAAAGCTCATGCTCATGTAGACGCTTGTTTGTAAACAATGACACGCTATGGCCATCTGACGTATGCGCAGGTGACGACTCCCCCGCTTTAAGGGATCACTCAGTTGAAAATTAAGATGAAATTGTTGGATTTTATGGAATACATACATAGTTATAGGGAAAATAACAAAATACTGAAAATAAACAAATATTTGTTGCCGTGCAGATGTGAGGTTCGACGTCAAATACTATTTCAGTTCATTGTTATTTACAAAGTATCATACACTACTAAGTCTGAATATATTAAAAACACTACTACGAAGAAGACAACGTCACATATCACCACTCGGGTCAGGGTTCATAGACGTAGGTTCTACATTGAGAGTCTTCTCCCAAAGCGTCACGTGGTATGGATTCGTCGATTGGCATCATGTCTTTCTTGCTGTCACGTACCTACAAATAAAATAGACCATATTTACTACGACATTAAAGTCACCATTCTTATGGGTTGCGCCCTCTAGTTTAGGGTAATTATTATAAACATATATCACAGAAATATCATAAACTCATTATTTACTAATTGTGTAGTAGTGGAAACTTAACAATGTTTTAACCTTTGAGACACATCCCTGGTAATCACGTGATCGTGCCAACGGCTGCAGTCATTGGTTGATCACTTATTTACCCCGCCATACCATAGAGTTCTATTGGAACTATGTGAGATTTCGTAATAGAAGTTAACAACCAGGCGCTACCTTGTCTGACTGGGTGAGAAATAAAGCCGGACTTATGTATATTCTTTTTGGTCGGACCTAGTGTCTTTACAGTGTCAAATATTTCTACCAAGCGAGTCCCAAAATACTAGCCTCCCTTCGTAGCAACGTCATAAATAAAAGTGTTTCATTGCTAGACGGCGCGAATATTGAAAATGTTGTGACAATGTTATACGATTCCGATATCAGACATCTCTGGACTCACCTCTTCGGCTTTAGAGAATGCCCTTAGTAAATTATTCCCTAATAACTTTTTGACGTCATCATCAGACCAGCCGCGTCCAATCAATATAGAAATTAAGTCTGGGAACGTGGACACATCTTCCAGTCCATCTGGTAAACTGTAATTAAACACGCCCGGGGTCATTAGGAGAGAAAAACGATTCCTAAACTTGATAATTTCTTGTCATATATGAACGACACAAGGAAAAGGGGGTGTCTTAGATAGAAAGAAAACTGGGAAAATACATGAATCATACATACGTAGTGACGCCGTCATAGTCAGAACCAATACCAACACAGTCAATTCCACATACATCTCGTAAATGTTCAATGTGATCTATAATATAATGTGGTATATAATATAACATGAAACTACATTGATTTAAAGGGATTCACAAGCTTAAAGGGCGACAGTCGTCGTGCCGCGTTCTGTTCGGTATGGGACTCGTACTCATAGCGACGCATACAACGCGTGTAAAATACATTGTTTATTTACATGAAATTCAAACACGCGACAGACATGGTAAATCTATTAATAGAGATGATATATGGATCTCAAAGCATACATCCAACAGTTGTTTTGAAAAGCAAAAGCGAGATTTTCCCGTAATATATTATTAAAACAAATTATATCTGCAACATAATATTACACGCCTGCAAAATAATATAAAATACCTGCAACATAGTATAGCATACCTACAACATAATATTACATACTTGCAACATAATATAACATACCTGCAACATAGTATAGCATGCCTACAACATAGTATAACATACCTGCAACATAATATAACATACCTGCAACATCTTTAATATTGCACGTGGTTATGTTTTTCGGAAGGCAACACACATATTCATCATAAAAATTTACCATCACAACTCCGCCATTGTCTTTCTGTAATATATATGGTTTTAAATCATCAATATTTAACTTATTGTACAGTTCCATGGATGATACGAGAAAATCAACGCAGAGATTACATAACAAGGCTGCAAGACTTGTTTTTGGTCCTTGGTTCACGTGCACGTCGTAGACCCAACCCCTTTCGATTTTAAATTGACAACCAATATACATTTAATAGAAAAAAGAAAGCTGCTTTGTTAGAGATATCAACTTTGCGGGCGCTGTTGTGAATAATACTAGTATTATTATGAGGCCCATTATTCTTTTTGAAAATGAAAACACATTTTTCTGTTAACATTGAATTAATCGAAACTCTGTTTGTTTACACATTTGTGTGTGTGATTAAAAAAAGACCCACAATTTAAAAAAATGCATATAATATGATCAATTCGAACGGAACACGCCTGTTGCAAGGGTCATTCACTGAGTTGAACATTCTGGATGAATGTTATATCATGATTAAAGCGGCAATTGCTGTAATTTTGGACATTTTTTTAGTTTAAATATAACTATATAAAGATGACCAAATCATACCGAAATATTGTCTTAGGCACAATACACAATGCTAAGGTCAGATAAAATGCGATGTAAAAATCAAGGGTCGAGCAGCCGCCATTTTGTTGAAATCAGACACGTGACAGGAACCGTTGAAAATTATGACAAACGGTGCACACTATGATCGGAAATGACACACGAAATCATCAGTGAAAGACCTTCTGATAGAGGCTTAGTCTCTCCGCAAGATGGCGACTCAATTGATATTTTACTCAGTGCCCCTGGAAGTTATCATCTTGTACCGTATTTGTAGTTCGCTTGACAAAACTATATTTCAATAGACGGCGCCCTCTGGGAATGTAACCCTGTGGCCATCTTAATTCCCTTGCAAGTGATTTAATGTACAACGTCGTTATATAACGTTATATAGTTTTATTTAAAAAGATAGTTACAGCTATTGCCGCTTTCAATTTGCCGAGAGTTTGACGATGATTTAAAGCGGGGGAGTCGTCACCTGCGCATGCGTCAGATAGCTATAACGTGTCATTGTTTACAAACAAGCGTCTACCCTTCCCTCGCGTGCGCAGGTGACGACCCTCTCGATTTAATAACATGAGATTCTCACCACTAGTTCCAATACGTCATCCGGAACGTTTCTACTGTGGTTACATAGTGCATATGCCGAAGAATGGCTGAATATTACAGGCGCCTCGGTCACTTCCAATGCGTCACGCATCGTATCGAATGAGACATGTGAAAGATCAATGAGCATGCCGAGTCTGTTCATTTCTCGGATGACTTGCTGAAACAGACATAGTAAACATAGTAAAGATAACACGGATGCAATGCCACTCACAATGTCAATGTCCCACAATTTCACGTTGTAATCTTTGGGATCACCCGTTACACTCGTACTTAGAATTGCAAACAGCCCCTTGTTTATTTGTTGTTGTTTTCTTAATAAAAGAAAATGTTATGGGAGTGTATAAATGCAAACGTGACGTGACACCGACAAAAACAACGTGAGTTACATACAGTGTTTGTATACACGTAATTTGAATATACACTGTGTAATGCTACCACATCCCTTTAGAATGTATCACTTTCTGTAAAATACACTTTTTTTTTAAAATTAGGCTGAACGATTCAATATGAACATTAAAAGTCGGACAAATATGTACAACCGCATTTTGGTAGGGGTTATCAGACTGGAAAAGACCTAGCACTTACCGAACACGCATAATTTACGAGCGGAAATTACGAAGGAGGTACTACGCATTTCATGAAGGAATGAAACTGTTTTATGAACAATCATAAAAAATTGGTCAGAGATGTCATTATTGTCTTTTTTTAACCTTTCGTCTTTTTTGGGGGAAAATAACAAACAAATATACTAGTAGGTGAAAAACTGGTTAAAGGGAGGTTGTCGTCGTCGCGCAGCGCGCGGTTGGAATATACCGAGCACGACACTTCACAGAGACTACTCGTTTGGTACCTTTCCCCAGTCAGTGAGTCCGAAGAATTGTTCATCCTCTTCTTTCCAGTTATCAGCCCTGTTGGTACATAGAACATGAATATATTACTGTAGAACACGTTGAAATAGCTGCATGCAATTTTAGCGGATTTGACTCTTGACATGAATTAACAAAATCTTAATTTAGCTTTAGTGTTGACCATTTCCCTGTTAGAATAGACTTTTTGTTAAATTAGCTGCACCTTGAATTAGCGAAATTACAGATTAGCTGAATTAACTTGAAATTCCACGATTATATTGTCTCTTCATTTACTGTAAATAGACAGTACGCTGTGTTACCAAGCAATGGAATGCCTCTTCGACTAAAAACAGCCTTTGAATTTAATTTGCTTAAAATAATCAAATGATTGGAAGTTTTTAAAAAAACGATAGGAAATAATTAATTGCCAATAATTGATATTCATATTTATCTATGTAAAAGTACTGTTTTAATATTGTTTATGTATAAATGAACATAATATGATGTTATTACTAGGGTATCTTGGCTGCGCAACGGTCGATGCGATGGCGTACTGTCTGAGTGCATACTTTGGGGTATCCTCGTAATAACATTATTTTTATTATTATCATTATTATTATACATCTTTTCCTTCCAAGGATACATCATGGGAATGCCAAAATCCAAAAAGTTTAGAACAGATTTAGCGAACTTCTTTGTGTGGAGTCCGGTCAAACCCTGGGTGATGCAATGTTTGTTTTTATTACGTGCGTAATCGTTTCATACTTGGAATTCGCGTTTCATAATACGGTAGAATGAAAATACCGATTACAATATCGCAAAATTACGACACGCTGTAATTTATGGTGTTACGGTAACAGATGTATAATAAAATGATTTATGATACATAAATAATATTTTTTTTCTGGCATTTCACTGTTTACTGTTCATTGTTATAAATTGTCATGAAAGATTATTTGTGTAGTTGAATCATGTAAAATATTACAAATAAAATTAAAACACACAACGCCGTATTCCCTGCATTGTCATAGTCATGTCATTTGAAAAGTCGAATAAGAACGAGGCTTGTATACAATTCCAATCTAGCCATACACAGTCGTGATATCGAGTGACGTCCCCAAATCTTACCATGGAGTGTTACAACTATGAGTTATTGTCATGTATCGAGTGCCTAATTCATAGAGCATGCGCAGAACACCCAACTGGCTGTCCATTCCATGTCCACCCTCTACACCAATCAAACTTCCGATTTTACCAGCTGCGAATGCGTCCAATATTCCTGCATATATTTAACACAGGGAAAAATTATAGATAAAATATATACGATGTTTCACACAAAAATATTTTAGTAAACTCGAGATAGTATGACTCCTCCTACCTTGGGCCGTGGTTACGAATTCAAACGTATCTGGGTACTGCTCTGTGAATCGTTTGATGACGTCAATCTGTTCAATTGTATGACGTAATGCATCTTTATATTGAGCATCACAGCTCATGTATGCAGCCCAGAACTTAAAGTAGAAAAAAAACATTATATATACATAGGTCGCTCAAAATACAAGTGTGTGAGTAAACCACTGGATACGTTTAAACTGTTCTGAGTCATTCTTCATTTTTCTGATTAAAACAGGTCAGGGTTACTCTCCCCATAGTGGTTATATTGGCTCTTACACCAACGTACTTAGTTTCAGCTCAGACCAATAATTTATTAGTGGTCCGGGGTTTAACACTCTTAAATCATTAACGCTTTAAGTATTTACTGTCGCTAGACAAATTAAATAAATGGTGGGTAAACTTTATTCAGCACGTATATATGGCCTTTTTCATTAGGGGAAATAGTAAATTAATACTGAAGCAGCATAGAATAGTATGATATAGGACAGTCGTGCAACTATCTTGGAAATACACTCGACTGATACTGATTGAACCGTAGATAAAGGGCGGTGGCCGTCGCGCCACGCATGTGCGAGATATGGGTCTCATACTAGTATATGAGCAAAAATGGCGACGTTGAATGGTGCTCAGAACAACGAGTACAAACTGAGAGGTTACCAAGCTTTAACTATGTAAAATCTTATGTGATTGGTCACTGGCGGTAATTAGTTCACATAACGCCCAGGTCAAAACTCGTACATGTGATTTTCATTAGAAGAGTGCATTGGATTGTGGGAAAATCTATGTTTATTAACACAAATGCCGCACATGCGCGGCACGACGGCTACAGCCCTTTAAGGTACTCGTTTACAACAGTATGCTGACAAGCGCAATGTGAATGATGAGGTTATTTGTCTGGTGACGCCGCTTTCCTTTTATGTTTCATATTATTAATTTTATTCAGTGTGGTAAATGAAATTTATAATATCCACATTTACCAAAGATTCTATGTAAAATTGTACACATTGTAAGCTTGAAATTGGTGTGTGTGTTTTGTTTAGGAGCGGGAGGGGTCGCCTTAAACCTAAAAGAACGTTCTAGTCACACATCCTAAAGAAAATGTTGTTTTAATGTTGCTTCATTAGAAATTGTTAGCATATATTGGGTAAAAGGTGTGACTACTAACAAAAGAAAACAAATCAACATTAACGACGTTACATTGTACAACGCTTCATGTATTGTAAAATTAAATTTACCTGTGCTCCAAGCAGTCCTTCTCGCAGTCTAGGAATGTCTGTGTGTCCATAGTCTCCAAATTTGTCTCTTGTACTTGTACGCAGATCAATGTTTTGTAACACGTTATCAAAATGGTTCTTCAGTTGCCATGGCAAATCATTGTGACTGAATGAAAAAGAATTGTATGAACATAAAATATTGAATTTATTAGCTGTGTTTGTCATGAGTTGTATATGGTTATCAACTGGAAGCATAAATACTTCTATTTTATTCACGATTGGTCGGAAATCTGGTATACTAGCTCATGAACATAACACAAGTGATAACAAGTCTAAAAACGCTGTTCTTTTGGTAAATAACTACTACATTTATATGAAAACATGCTGGTATATATTAAACACATATATTAGGCCATGTAATATGTGTTTTATAACAAATTTCACGTTCATGCTGTGCGAAGCCCGGCGTGGAATTGCCAGAGGAACGTGCACAGATCGTCTGCTGTCTTCTTCTCGACGTCTGCTAGGGGTGTCCCGAATTTCTTCACAAAACGATGTAAAGACGCTTCTAGAAAACCTGATAGCGTCCTTCGTCTTCGATGCATCTTTATTTTCTACTAGTGTGTCAAGTTCTTCTTCTGAACTGAAGCTAAATCGTTCAGTCTTTCGAGGCGGACCACCGATATCAGCGACCGAACTAGCAGACGACATATTGGAAATCACACGATCAGGTGACAAGTGACGTCATCCCCGGGCACTAGTTGATGTACTAGTCTCCCTAGTAATTTCCCTGGCGCTACTATGTGATTCTGTTTTGACCAATTACAGTACAGTATTAACGAGTGATGTGTTATAAATTCAAATGTTCCACCCTTGATGGAATCACGAACGACCGAGGAATACCTAATGAACTGCTCGCATGCGCATGCGCTTGCACCATGAATCACTGGAACGTACTTGATATAAATTGTGCATGTTTCATAAACAATGAATTTATTTGACAATATATCATAAAGTTTAAAATAGCATGTAATATCGAAAATAAAGTCTACCTACATTGCTTCTTAAAAGAATTCTAAGGTAACATGTTATTTGTTGCGTTAAACAAAACTTGGAAATGAGAACTAACCTTTAATGGCGTAATGACTTGACAGGTTGTACATGGAAGTAATTTAATACGTGATATGATTAGGATAAAGACCCTGTACCCGGACTCGTTCGGGATTTAAAGTGTGACTCGTGATAGAATATCGAGGACACAGGCCATATGCAAGACTTTATATTGAGAAGAGTTCTAGCACGAGAACTTTATTCGACTTAAAATCAGCATCATGTATAGATATGTATGTTAGGGAAAGTCTCATACTTTTGAAAGTATTCGGCGAGTCCTGTCAACAGCAATTTTGCATGAATTTCGAACCGAACCATGCCCCTATTTTGAAATGGATTCTATGTTCTAAAAGTCGCGGAGCAGTACACATAATCACATGATCGTTGACCTATCGAATATATCCCCCAAACCAAGAACCAGCATCGTGTTCCAGACAGCTCAACGTACAGCATGTCTATCATAGCGCCTGGGTGTTTGCTACTAAGTTAGTGTTTGCGAACTGTATGTGATTCGACGGTGCAGTCGGTGAGGCCCACCATAATTACCCGCCGTTCGATGTGATTCGACGGTGCAGTCGGCGAGGCCACCCGCCGACTGATAAAATGCGAACACTGGATCGTGATGCATAATCAATATTTTGACAGAAAACGTATGAGAACACAATGCTAATACAAGTCAAAGAACAACTGGTGACTAGCTTTGAGTTGATTATGACTATATAGTGTACATAAAGTCCCGCAATGGAGTATTCTAATTGACCGTACAGCATAAACTAAATTTCAAACATTGTTACGTCCCTTGAACCTTTTTTCAACCAACATTATAACTGACCATCTTCCGATAAAAACAAACACTGAATCATATAGTGCATAATGTATATTTTGTACAAAATCAGACAAGATCACTCACCCATCCACGAGAGGCACTTCCTTCATCAGTTTTTTCGCCGTGTCAATGTCTTTTGTTGACCTTGACAACGGCAAAGCGATTGCCGTCGCAATGACGGCTACTCCTACAAGAGTTATACCTACAACAACAGCAACAATTATCCATTGTGACGACTTCTTCTGAGAAAATGACATTTTGAGGTAAAAATATGGCGATAGCGGTCGATTCACGACGTACGGACCTTACTGACAAATATGTATTCTATACTGAACGCCAACGACTTCAAGTCGCGTCTGTCCAATCAGCTTATTATCCCCGCCCCCAAAATTCGGCAGCAACTTATATTGCGGAAATAACAACATTCAAGTTTTTGACTTTTTTTAAACTGAGAAAAAACAACCAAACCAAAAAAATTATTAAATGTATAACCACTCTGGAAGTGTGATGGGTATTCAATTCAGATTCTTTGCAGTGGTCCTAAAATAGTAGTCAGTTTAATTTTTTTAAAGCGATTTAACTTTTTGGTATGCTGGGTCTATAGGTCATATGAAAAGTAACAGTGGTAAACTAATAGACCATCTGTCAAAAGTTGACAGCCCGCATAACAACTAGTTGCTGGGCATCTTGACATAATTCCTACTGGTAATCATCTGCCCTACCCTGCTATAGAATGGAACGACTCTATGAGTCACTTCAAATTGATTGGTTGTAGTCCAAATTAGCTACCCAATCACAATAAATCCTTGATGGCTCTATAAAAAACAATCTAATTTGGAATCTAAAGAGCTAGAAACCGGTACCAAAGAACCCATCTTTGAATCTCTATATAGAGGACTTGCTACCTTAGCATTTGGAACCTTTAAAAACTGACTAATCTTAACGATACAGATTTCCATCTTCAGTTCTCTAGTTTTGTGACACTGGCTATCAAGGTATTGAAAGTAAGTGACTTCTCTTTCTCAATAAGGCACATAGAAAAATACTCTGGCAAGTTTACAAGGCCTACTTCGAGCAATGCGCATTGATGAACAACTGGAAATGAGACACACAAAGTATCTGATGGTAGGTTTATCAGAGTTGGTTCAAACGGATTTGACAGTAGCACGACCAGGGCTGGTGAAATATCATATTGGGAATTGACCTGTAAACTAGACAGGAGATTTAGGCTTGGCAGGCGGAAACATATGCAGCTGAGTTGAGAAGCAGACAAAGGAAACAAAAAAGAATTTGCTAGAATTTGGGAAAGAGAATAAGAGAACTGAGTGAAATGCTCTAGCAAGAGGATTTGCAGGAAGGCGCTTTTGTTTATCTAAAGCCCCTCAACACAGCCTGTATTGGAGACGCAATTCCATATGACAAAATGTTGAACCCAGGGAATCATAAATAACTTGTAGATTAGTATAGCTCCCAGCATGGATGGAATGTTATCGCTGAGATGGGAAGGGAGAATAGACACACAAGAATAGACTGTGCAGCCCTACCAATGGAAGGAAACAGAAGAAGACCAAACTGGAAAGAAAGGACGTTGGGTACAATTCAGTAACCAAACCACACCCCAGGGAAATCTAAACCACCTCACAACCCTACAGGTTTATTGTTGAGCTACATGTACACCTCCCAATCAGATCAAGCAAACAGTGGTGGTAACATATAAGAAAGCAAAGTTTTACTACATTTATTGTTAATATACGTAATGGGCATAAGAGTACATAATGATTTTCTTTCATTGTGAAATTCACACCCATCGTTATATGTATCAGTATCAGTATTTTTCATTACAATACGTGTTGGCAGTACAGGTTTGTTTAAAGATATTCCGTTTATTCTGGAGTGGAAAATAGTGATTTTTTGGGCATTAGACAAAACACATTGAGTGACGTGCCATTCTGTGACTCAGATCATCTTACCATTTAACTCTACTTAGGCCGAAACGTTCGTCCACCGTGCTGGAAAGACTGGTAACTAAATACATGGGTGACATCTGAGCTGGATAGTGTATGGTAACTATATACCTGGCCCGGACTTAAATATTTTCCCCACAAAATACGAGTATACATACATTTATTAACCGTGTGTAAAAGTATACTCAGTTTATGGTTTAGTTTTTCATTTTGTGTGTAGAGTTACATACTGACAAATTGAAAGAATGATATTTGTAGCCATGGTCTGGCAAGTGACTTGTAAAAAAGGAAGATCTTGCAAACAAATTTGGTGGAATCAAAATTAAAATCCGGGGTGTTTAAAATATTTTGTCATTGTGGCAGTGTGTGTTCATGAATTTTGTCAAAAATTGTTATTTTCATTGTTGTTGCCCTGACCTGACCACAGCTGTTTCAATTTTAGTTGTTTAATAATATATATATATTAATCAGCCGGAGTCGGATGGGAAGGCTGTGTGATTGTAATTATTCTCTGCTGAGGTCCCGAAAATACTAGCCGAGTTAAGTTTTTAAGTGATTCGACATTATGGTATGCTTGGTTCAAAGATCATATGAGAAATGACCGTGGTAAACTAATAGGTCATCTGTCAAAGATTGACAGCCTACATAGCAAATGTTTGCCAAGGATCTTGACATTGTGTTATATATACAAACTTATGTTTATTCAACTTGGCGGTGTGCTGGAATTAGTTATTTTTAGTTAAACTTCAAATGAGGTACGAAGTCTTTGCAAACAGCATGTGTTAAAAGTCCCATACTTTTATAGTATGACGGACTTGAGTAGGTGTCCGGTGAAACGTTACTATACCCTGACGTATAGTTTATGTCATTGTACGGGAAGGGGAATTTTTATTACTAAAAGTTGGAATGAATAGTGTGCATAATTTCATGAACGCCTTGTAAGAAGTCATATTCATTGAGACAGGGAATAACATTCCATTTATAGCAACAGAGGCCGATTGTTTACTAATAAATATTGTTTTATATTACCCTTCAAGTCAATCGTACCGGTGCTATTTGTTAATCACTTGACTCACAATAACCAATTTAAAAAGAGGCCGCCTCTAAGTTGAGCCATATATCAATTTAATTGAACTCTCATATATCAACACTTCATCGAACAATGCATCTAGCGTTCATGACGTCAGTGTCCTGGGCCTTGTTTATTTACAATCTCACAAATAATGAGACAAGGCCACGCGAGTAATACGTTAATAGTTATGATGCCAAAACTGTTTTCTCTTTAGTGACAATTACAAAATATATATATATATTATGCATCTAATAGAGAATAAATAACTGAACAGGTTCGCGTGCATTCTTGAACATTCTTGGCCTTCGTCAGAGCTTAGAAACAAAAATATTGATTGTATTCTAGTATATTTAAATTATTTATTTTCCATTAGATAGATTATATACTCAGATTATATACCCTACACGTTGGCAAAACAGAGTTTAAAGTGATCTCCAAGCAACCATTGACAGAAAGCAATGCACCATAGCGTCACTGAAAACAAACATAATATAAATTTGATTAATGAGTTGATGGTTAGAGCGTTCTTGTGAAACAAATACCCCAAACTCTCGCATTTTTTTAGAAACATCCAAGATGGCGGCTAAATTGCATAACTGGTCCGAATTATTTGTTTGTTGTCTGAAAGAGGTTGGTATAAAATGGCAACATGGCATATAAATTGGATAAATGTCACGTCTATAAAACAACTATTACCTGTTTAGAAGATGTCAACCAAATCAAGAGCTGTGAAAACTTCATTGAGCGTTACACACAGATGTAAAAATCTAGTTTCAGATGAATGTGTTCAGTGGTTCTCAAGAAGACGATTTTCAAGCGTTTTTGCCATTTTTCAGGAAAACTTCTGAATTTTTCTAAATTTTAGAAGATTTGGGTTGTATAAACAAGGACTCGCAAAAATGTTTAACATTAGTGAAAGGGGCATCGTTAATCCAATACAGTGATAGTTAAATTAAGAAATATTTGGCAAATTTGATCAAACACGTATTCAATTTAATTCTAGTTTCCGATATTTTTTTTATTGTTCTATGATCGTATAACTGCAGTTTCGTCATCCTTATTTTTAAGTAAGGCAATCAAAATGAAACACCTGTCATGGCATTGTAGTGCCTAAATGTGTATCTAATTATTCTATGGGCTCATTGACCATCTAGTAATTTAGAAATAATAATTTGTTTAGCTTTAGGAATGCAAAAACACAACAAACAATAGTTTCATTTGTGCATTTGAAGTAGTTGAAAGTAGTTTAATTGTTAAACCATTTATCACAAATGATCAACTACTCGCAACATTATTCGGTGACAGTATAAACTGATTACAGATATAATTTTGTGTAAAGGCACTTAACGTTGATTGGCCGATATCGAATACAGATCGACGATAATACTTATGTTATTGAATGTTACAAATGGTAATTTTGTAAGAAAATTAATTGACGAACTTTATGTTCAGATCTTTTCATTCTTAATAATTTCCTTTTAATATTTCGGAATTGTTTTGTTAGTTTCTTTGGTTTGTGTTCTTGTTTGTTGGAACTTAAGCAACCTGTAGTGTGTACGTTTCAAACAGAAAAACATATAATATTGTTATTAGCCAGATTTGAACCCCCTAAAATACTGGTTATTGATACGACATAAATATCCCTAGAATTGTGTGATGCACTTATATGATTGATATACATATCTCGTGTTGTTGACAATACTTTACTTGCATATTTATTGACCCTGTACCGAGAAAAACTAGATAAATAACATCCATTGAATTGTGGCGTCACTATATTTTATTCATCAGTTGGTTTACAAGCAGTAATAACAATTTAAAACCTTCAATATATATTTCTAGGGCTCATAAAATATTTCAATCCGGTTCAAAGTACTATAGAACAAAGCAGGAAAAGTAACTTCGACTTTGTACAGAAAATCTAAACACACCTGTTCTATAAATCGTGATGGAAAGCTTCTGCGAATTCAAAATGACGTATGTCATTCAAATCGACCATGATTGGCTCTGTAGTCGTTGGTCATATATAATACAGTAAACTCTCTTGAAAACATAATCTTCGTTGATGGTCGACTTCATATCAAAACGATTTCGACAATTTAAACAGCCTTTGTATAACCAAGGTTACTAAAAAAACGTGGTCAGGTGTAACCCACTTATATCATATGAGTGTTTTGAAACTAGAGGGCGCGATTTATATGAAAGGAGGTATTTATTAATATTTTGACTACCCTTTAAATTTTGTATTGCCATTCAGACATGAGAAAACTCATATATTCAAAGTCATTGCATCACCTGTTGTGTCATTTTGTTGAAAAATGGGCGTCGACCAGTAATAAATTACCTCAATGTAACAATCTGAACTGCATCTTTCAGAATACCCTATAAATGATATCAGTAGACGGTCTCAGACCACAGAAGTCTGATACTGGCTGCCTCATTTCTGTAATTCTCCTTGTTGCATGATCTTATGTTTCGAGAAGATCCCTTGACCCCTGACCTCTCATCGAACCCTTCTAAACTAACTTACACCGTAAATATTGATATTAATAAAATAAACAAATAATGATAATGTCCAACACCAACCTTACGAATCTTAAAGTTTCCGGTAAAATTCAAATATAACCGGAAATTCAAATCAAGGCAAGTTCACAATGTTCAAAGCTTTGTTCACACAGCAAATTGGACAATTGCCTCTATGGAAATGGTGAAGAAAGCAAATCAAAAAAATTCTCAAACACTATCTCAGTACATTGTTATTTACAAAATATCACGCACTACTAGATACAAAAAATATACTAGAAACACTACCACGAAGAAGGAATGAATGCGTGCGGCGATATCGAACATACGTGCACAGACAACGTCACATATCACCACTCGGGTCAAGGTTCATAGACGTGGGTTCTACATTGAGAGTCTTCTCCCAATGCATCACGTGGTATGGATTCATCGATTGGCATCATGTTCGTCATAGAGTCTCGTACCTATAAGTAAAATCAAAAAACCTAATATTCAAAGATGTCACTGCGACTCTCAATGTCGAATGATATAATTTCGGAAGTACACCATCATACAATAGTGGACTTAGTATAAGTAATCATTATATAATATAAGCCACTAGGCACTCCAAGAACATAGATACAAATTACTTAATTTCACTAGTACCTCATTACCATATTAATATGTTTTCTAATAACACTGCACATTTATGGCATAAGCTTGAAACATAAGCTTTTTGAAAAGAGAGACCAAATTAAGTATTGACAACTCTAGTCACACAGCAAATCAAACAATGTCATTATATGGCAATGGTCTGAATCTTCTGAAAACTAATTCTTCATTAACTTTTTTAGTCATTGAAAATAATTTACATCACAACAAATTTAAGATCTAAACCAACTTCTAGCCGTTTGATACTTATTTTCGAATTGGCACACCTCTTGAAATGACATAAAAATTCACCAATAACTTTTTGAATTATAAATGAAGATTTCTCAACATCTGATCAAATGGTTTTTTGTGTAAAGACAATCCATTAAAAACGTTTTGAGTTACTAATGAAAACTCATTCCTGAATTCGCTATTTCTATGGAAACCAGATTCACATCGTTACCAAAATTGTATGAATTGGGTAAACTCTCCTGGACAATTCATAAGAATTCATTCATAACCTTTCGAGTCATGACTGAAATCTCATTCTCGAAACTATCCTTTCCTTAGCAACAGGGTCCACATCTCTAAACTGTATGTAATTGGTTGGTCCTTGAGTCCTCACAATTTCAGGAGAATCCACGTATAACTGTTTGAGTTATCATGCTGAAAGTTAAACAAACAAACAAACACCGGCCAAACGTATAACCTGCTTAATGACACCACACGGAGGACTCCTCCTCTATATATACGTCATTGCGCGTCTACACTCACCTCCTCGGCTTTAGTGAACGCCCTTAGTAAATTATTTCCTATCACCTGTTTGACGTCGTAATCAGACCAACCTCGTTCCACCAATATAGCAACTAAATCTGGGAATTTGGACACATCTTCCAGCCCAATTGGTAAGCTATAAATAACGATAAGTTAACAAGCATTTACTATAATACGTGAAGGAAACCTGACACAACCAAGATTGTGTACCATCAGCCTCTTATAATCTATTGAATAGGACTATTGATATTAATGATTGGGTATGTCAGTGCTTCTTATTTTGTAGGAGCAAAAATAAATAATTAAAACATTATCGTATAAGCAAAATGTACGCAACATACAGAGATGATAAACTTTAAATGTATAGTGGCATTAGTAATGAGTTTTTATAGAATGTCCTCTAGGAATCTAGCAACTGAATAAGTCCCATTAAAGTAGAATCGTCGATTCGTCGATATAATTAGTTGTAATACTAATTATTACAACATAACATAAATATTACAATGCTGTTAATTCAATCATATAATAATTGTATATCAACTATAGTCTTTCTAGTCATATGATGGCATGAATTTTAAAACCATATGTAATAATTAACATTTTCAACGCATAATATCCATGAGATGAAAATGGTTACAATAATTTAAAGCGGGGAGTCGCCACCTGCGCATGCGTCAGATGGCCATAGCGTGTCATTGTTTACAAACAAGCGTCTACCTAATGAGCCTTTGAGTTTTTAGCGTGTGTTGTTATCGCAGTTAGCGCAGGTGACGACCCTCTCGCTTTAATTAAAAACAACATAAACGAAGAAAAAGTGAAATCTGATAGCACAGTAACAGTCACAATTACAAGAATGTCATACATACGTAGTGACACCGTCATAGTCCGAACCCATACCAACACAATCAATTCCACAGACATCTCATAAATATTCAATGTGATCTAATAAACAAAATAAATTGTTTTCATCATCAAAAATATAACAATACAATGGTAAAGATTCACTTATAAGAGGGCGCAAATGACCACAGTCGCCTACAACCATCATTCTGTGTCTTACATAATCATGTAACATGGGATGTTCCTCCCATAATTCTGTAACATTGGAAAAATACCTCTCATCTTGTGACAATAAAATATAGTACATTGGAAGGTTACCTCCCATTCTGTGACATTGGAAGGTTACCTCTCATTCTGTAACATTGGGAGGTTACCTCCCATCCTGTAACATTGGAAAGTTACCTCCCATCCTGTAACATTGGAAGGTTACCTCCCATCCTGTAACATTGGAAGGTTACCTCCCATCCTGTAAAATTGGAAGGTCATCTCCCATCCTTTAACATTGGAAGGTTACCTCTCATCCTTTAACATTGGAAGATTACCTCTCCTCCTGTAACAATTGAAGTTTATCTCCCATCCTGTGACAATGGAAGGTTACTCTCCATCCAGTAACATTGGAAGGTTATCTTTCATCCTGTAACATTAGAAGGTTACCTCCCATCCTGTGACGATGGAAGGTTACCTCCCATCCCGTAACATTGGAAGGTTACCTCCCATCGTGTAACATTGGAAGGTTGCTTCCCATCCTGTGAAAATGAAAGGTTACCTCCCATCCTGTAACATTGGAAGGTTACCTCCCATCCTGTAACATTGGAAGGTTACCTCCCATCCTGTAACATTGGAAAGGTTACCTCGCATCCTGTAACATTGGAAGGTTACCTCCCATCCTGTAACATTGGAAGGTTACCTCTCATCCTGTAACAATTGAAGATTATTTCCCATCCCGTGACAATGGAAGGTTACTCTCCATCCAGTAACATTGGAAGGTTATCTTTCATCCTGTAACAGTAGAAGGTCACCTCCCATCCTGTGCCAATGGAAGGTTACCTCCCATCCTGTAACATTGGAAGGTTACCTCCCATCCTTTAACATTGGAAGGTTACCTCTCATCCTGTGACAATGGAAGGTTACCTCCCATCCTGTAACATTGGAAGGTTACCTCCCATCCTGTAACATTGGAAGGTTACCTCCCATCCTGTAAAATTGGAAGGTCACCTCCCATCCTTTAACATTGGAAGGTTACCTCTCATCCTTTAACATTGGAAGATTACCTCTCCTCCTGTAACAATTGAAGTTTATCTCCCATCCCGTGACAATGGAAGGTTACTCTCCATCCAGTAACATTGGAAGGTTATCTTTCATCCTGTAACATTAGAAGGTTACCTCCCATCCTGTGACAATGGAAGGTTACCTATGCCATCCTGTAACATTAGAAAGGTTACCTCCCATCCTGTAACATTGG